CACCTTACGCGCCAGACTTATCCCTATGTGTAGCGCGGATTTCGCAGCGGTGTTGCTTACCGCAACAAATGTTTATAATGATCTGTCGGATTATCTCCTTGTAAATTGTTTATAACTCCAAGAAGTCCAAAACATGTGTACTCTATGGAAAGGTATTATAAGATGACCTTCTCAACAATCGAAGGTAACCGCAAGTCGACCGAAAAGATAACGAACGAATGCACATGCTAGGCGAAGAGATCGCAGAGAAGTTGATGGATAACAGAATTGCGAGTACAATAAGTGAGTACGATAGCATGTTGGACAGCGGCCAGAGTGACGCCTTGGATGAGATGAGGTCATAAATCGAAGGGCCTCCGAACCACAGAACAGCGACTGGAACGTGGCCAAGCCTGCTGGCGCAACGAAGCCTCAATCAAGACGTGTGCTGACTAAGGTGCGGCGGAAACATGGCGCAAAGAACCATGCGAGATAGGTCCATATGCTGGGAAAAGTCCCAAATGTTTGAATAAGTCGCCAATAGTGGTCACCTGAGAAGGCTGCGGCGCTCTTACGGCATCCGAATTTTGAGCAAAGTCTACGTCTGGCGCTTTTCCGCTAGTGGAACTGCGCTTGCACTGTGATGAGCCGCGTACCGCGTAACCTGACCCACGGGGTCATTTGCTAGTGGAGGAGGCGCTCGGGTCATAAAGGGGAAATCGCGACGCGTCGTCGTCTATCTTAGCCAGGCTACTCTCCTCCACTCGCCAACTGTTACAACATGAGGCGTTGAGGGAAAAGGGAGATGAGCAGAAGGAGTCCGAGCAACGAAAAAAAAAACGCATGGGGCAAAGAGTTCTGGAAGACTACCGCCTAACTAATGCCACTCTCTCGATCGACGGCGATTGATTGCGTGCACTTTGTGACGGACTCCGCTGAGTCACTCGCGCACAACTACGGCGCTGCACTCACACACTTTATGCTTGCGTAAGTTGACTCTGGATCTCGGCCAGGTACAGAAGACTAACTGCGACTCGGATTTTCAATTTGGGCTGGGGCTGCACAGCAGAGGCTGGCACAAGCCCGCGTTGTGAGAAACATTTGTGCAAAGTCTTAGTTGACCTTCTTGCTAGACAGTGCCCGGGTTACTAATGACAGAAATCTCATGATGGAAGGTCGGCACCACCTAAAAAGCAATTTTTCAAAGTAAAGGAGTCATCACAATGATAGTGCGTCTCTAAAGCGAATAGCTGAAATGAAAGCTCCCACCTACAGGCTCAACCCTTGACTCAGAATTACTAGAATAGCAAAGGAGGAAGTAAGAAGAAAAGGAATATATTACTACCTAAGATTCTTACTTTCCATTTGTTATAAACGCAAATTATCTCAACCTTCGTTAAGATGGCTTTTAGACAAAGAAAAACTTTTCAAGGAAAACTATGCATGCTGCCTTCTACATAATGACGTGAATAAAGATATGCAGTAGTAGTCATCGAAGGGGGAGTGATTGGATAGCGTCGCAGATCGCGGGCCGAGGATAAGAGGGAAAGTTCGAATCAGGAAGTGTTCTACGGACGTGCAAGTTCCTTGTAGATAAATAGAAGATTACTATATGTCGGATAATATAGAAGAAATGCTTGAGTGGCGTCGGAATTCTGTCGTTTGAACCTTTTTAAAAGACTGTGATTTTTGCTGGGATAATGTAATGACGTGTGGAGAAAGTGATAGACAGCTCAAGATCAGTCTAAGATTATTTCTTACGTAATTTAGAATTTATACCCTATATTTGCAAAATCTTTACGTGTGATGCTTCTCAAAAGCCCATATCGTTCCAACAGTATTAATATCCCAATACTCATGAAAATCCTGCAATGATGAGGGCTGTGTGTTATCTTTAGTCACCATAAAAAAACGCTCGGGGACAGTTTATGCACTTGCACTTTGCTGATTGTTGCAGGACAGTGTTTGTTTTACACTTAATGGAGTTACAGCGATCGTGGCATTCGTATAAACTATCGAAGCGTTCGACTTAGAAGTTTTGCTCATATTAAAACTAGACATGTGATTGAGTTTTATATCGCTCAGCGCAGCTGGTGGACTCATAGATCCCGACGATCAGGTGCTGTTCGGTGCCCTCCTATACAACGCAACTTGCCGACTTTGGTGTAACTAATTGTCTCGTTGGCTGCTTAAAAACCTCTGAAAGTCAGCATAGAAGATTTCCACTGTCTAAATCTCCCTTTCCAAAAAGCAACCCACATAAAAGTGGCCGCATTAATCAGCTCATATACATAAAACCCTCTTTAAATCTCGCGTCACAAATACATTGTCAATAAAGATGATGGAGTCTGACACATGTAAAGTGATTCAACAAATAACAAGTTAATTCATGAACCATTATGTTTTGTTTTCCTTTAAGTGAGCAAGTTTCTGATTGTCTAGAATGGTCACTTTACGAAGGGTTCATCAACGTTTGTCTTCTTATCATTACCAGCAAAAAAGAAATGTTCACAGGTGTTGCGATTAGCTGAGACATCTTAAGCGTTGACAGAATGTCATAAGAAATGCTAGAGAGTTAATGGAGGCAGCATATGAATCGGACACACATGTGCTGTAAATGTTGTTTCGCCTTATGTTCCTCTATAAAACAGATGGGCCAAATCTACGACCATTATTACCATAAAATGTTGCTGTTGTAATTTTTTAGGAAACGAAATTGCGGAAAAGGTGTTGTGTTTTAACCAAAGGAAATGAAATTATTCTTTCTTTGAGAATAGAAAGGAAAACCTTATTGAATTCGTTATAGTCTGTCACTCTGCGGTGAGAAGCTAGGAAATTATCTGTATTGTGTTCACGGCTTGTGTCAAACAAATCACGGTTTGCCCTCAAATCTATTCTGCACTGTGGCTTTTGCATAGAAAATGCTTATTAATATAAAAAGAAATCCTTATCAATTAAATCTGTGCAGTCACAAAGCTACTCACTATAAAACAGGTTTTGGAAGGAACGACTAGCAATGGATATCAAATATGCTTCAATAACATCAAGGTTTCCCTAAAACAAAAGAAGCATTCCACTGAGGTGCGTCATACTTTATGGCGGAAGTTCGAGAACACTCATGTCTCTGAGCCAATTTAACAAAATCCCACACCTTAACATTCGCTGAGCGGACTTTTTGAGACTTTCTTCCTATAGCTAGCAAATGTTAGTGCTTTAAATATGGGTTCAGTGTGACCGCTATTACCACCCATCAAAGAATCATAAAAAGACTGGAATTTTACGATGCTACAGTTGTAAGCTCAAGGAAATGTCTGTTGGAGTTTTCCTCCCTCTTCCAACACCTGTCCCTTCTCGGCTTCAAAAGAACATGAGCGAATGGATTGTAGTAATTTGAGCTGCAGCTCAACCTAAGAAATATTAGCCTATGCACAATACAGTGATAATTTTTGTGACACAACTGATTTGGTTGCTCGTATTCTAGCAGTACGAAGGGTTTAGGACTGAGACGAACTAACAAACGATAGAAGCTTAGCGAC